TACAGAAAAATAGTTAGCAACCCTGACCTAAGTTTCTACCTCAATAAATAAAGGGGGGAAAAAGATGAAGTTAAATTTAAAGCAAGTAAAAAGAAGAAAATAAAAGAGACAAAAGATGGAAATCTATAGACTAGAAAATAGAAAAACAATAGAGAGCCGGGCTCGGTGGCTCAGCCTGGAATCCCAGCGCGTTGGGAGACCGAGGTGAGTGGGTCTCGAGCCACTGAGCCCGTGGGTTCGAGACCCGCCTGGGCAACTTAGCGAGATCTCGTATCTACGATAAATCAAAAATATTAGCCGGGCATGGTAGTATGCACCTGTAGTTTCGGCTCCTTGGAAGGCTGAGGCAGAAGAATCGCTGGAGCCCAGCAGGTCGAGGTTGTGGTGACCGGGAGCAGCCACTGCATTCCAGTCTGGGCAGCAGAGTGGGACTCCAACTCAAAAAAGAAAAAAAAAAAAATAGAGGAAAATTAATAAAACCAACTATTCACTGTAAAAAAAATCAATAAAATTGAAAAATGTGTGAGCAGCCTGATTGAGTAAAAAAGGGATAAAACACAAATTACAAGTATCAGAAGTTAAAGAGAAGATATCATTACAGATATACAGACATTAAAATAATAAGAGAACTTTATAAATTTAACAAGATGGATGGAATTAGATAAGTTAGATGACAAGTTAGACAAATTTATTGAAAAATACAACTTTGCAAATCTGACACCAGAAGCGATCCAGAGAAAGATCTCTATCTGCTGGAGAAATTGAATTCATAATGAAAACAAAACAAAACATAACCCTGGCTATAAAGAAAACTCCAGAATCGCGTGGCTTTAATTCTGAATTCTATTAAACATTTAGGTGAGAATTATTACCAGTCTTACCTAAACTCTTTCAGAAAATAGAAGAAAAAACCCTTCTCAACTCATTCTGTGAGGCCACCATAAACTCAACATATAAATTCAGACAAGAACATCACAAGAAAACAAGTCTACAAACCAAAACACCTTGTGAATATATATGCAAAAGTTTTTAACAAAGTATTTGAAAGCCAAATCTGCAATATTTAAACCTATAGTATTTATAAATTTGAGTGAAATGTTGGTTTACTATATGGAAGTTGGTCAATGTAATTAACCATATTAAGAGGATTCGTGAAAAAAAATCATATTATCATATTATCTTGATGGATGTAGTGAAAGCATTTGCTTTAATGCCATTTCTGATTTTAATGCAAATTTTTAGAACACCAGGAATAGAGAACTTGTTCTTCCTATTGTTAGGGAGCAATTATGAAAAACCTCTAGCTAATGGCTTACTTAATGCTAAAAGACCAAATACTTTCCCTCTCTGCTCAGGAAAAGGCAGGAATACCAACTCCAGCCGTTTCTACTCAGCAGTGCACAGGTAACCCCAGCCTGTGCAATTAGATGCCAAGGAAGATGATAAAGTCCTCGAAAGTGTTGCTTGCATCCACTCTCTCTGCTTTTTTCCCTCCCATTTTTCTTGAATTCACTCCCACCAGACTACCCCTTCCCGACCCACCATTCTACCACAATTGCTCTTGCAAAGATCACCATACACCTCCATATTCTCAAATCTATCAGTTAAGTCTTCATGTAATTTCACCTGTAAGCCTCAGTGTGACATAACTGACATTCCCTCTTTCTTTAATCTCCTTTTTCCCCAGTTGTCTTTTGGCACTTCCTGGCTTTCTTTTGAACTCACTCTCCAGTTCTGCTCCATCCAGTCTGTTGGTATCGCTTCCCCTGACCAACCTCTAAATTTAGCTGGGATGCTCAGAGCCCACTGCTCACACCTCTTCTCCATGCTGTCTGTACACATTCCCTAGACAACTTGAAATAGGCCGTGTATGCTAATAATTCTCCCAGATGTTATAAATCTTCAGCTGGGACTTTTAACCTGAGCTCCAAATTCCTTAATCCAACTGCCTCTCTGACATCTACATTTTGATTAATAATAGGCATTTAAAACTTAACATATGTCAGAGCAAATCCCTGATCTCCCCTCCTCTCCTACCCAAAGGCTGGTCCTCCTGTAATCTTCCCTTTCTCTGCAAACAGTAATTTCATTCTTCATTCTTAGCCTCATTCTTCGCTCTTTTCAACATCTCGTATCTAAATTGGTTTTCAAATCCCACCAGACTGCCTTCAAGTATAAACAGAATATAATCATTTCTTACCGTTTCCTCCAACCACCCAGGTCTGGATCGCCATTCTCTTTCATTTGGGTTCACGATCAGCCTCGTAATTAATGCCCTGGCTCCCACTCTTGTTCCCTCTCCAATCCTTCCTCTGGGCAGGAAGCCAGAATGTTCTTCGAAGACATATTTTCTTGTAAGACACGTTTCTCTTAAGCTAAAACCATCCATCCAGCAGTTCCTCCAACTCATTCCTAGGCTACCGCGCTGCTTCCTCTCATGCCACTTTCCCACCTGTACACTCCCCTGTAGCCATCCCTGCTGCTCTGGAAACATGGCAAGCAGGCTCCCACCCTAAGGCTTTTGACCCAGTCTGCTGTCCGCCTGGAACACTCCCTTCTCAGTTATCTGCACAGAGTGCTCCCGGACCTCCTCAGGTCTCTACCCAGACATCCCCCGGGGAAACCTTCTCTGATCCCGTTATTCAAAATAACTATCCCCGCTCTGGTAGTTCAATCCTCTTGTGCTCTGTGTGCTGTCTTCTTCAAACTAAACTTATACACTACACGAAGACAGGGATTTTATGTTGTTGTTTTTCATGGCTGTGTATGCGGTACATAGAACAATGTCTGGCACATAGTTGGCGAATGAATTGATTCATTCATGAGTTCATTTATTTATTTATTTGTTTACTAAATTTCTACCTGCTCGGCACTGCCCTTATGGAGTTTAAAATCTAGTAAAAATAAGAGTAATAATTACCATTTTTTGAGTGGTTACTAATCACTTTTCATGTGTCATTTCCTTTAATCCTTACAATAGCCCATTTTACAGATGAGGAAAGAAGCTTGGAACAGTTAAATAATGTGACCCAAGCCAAGTAGCTAGTACATACTGTCTTTCTTCAAAGTCTGTTTGTTAGCCACTGCCTGCCACTGAAATACATTCTTCTCTATTGACACTTAGATGGTATCTTATTGCTGTAAACATTTGAAATATATATTTTCGTGGCAACTCTCAACAAATAATTTATTGATGCATGCCCACAGTGAAGCAAATATCTTTTGAAGTGAAATTTCTCTGGGACTCTTGTATTTATTTTCTTTTCTGCTACTTTCTACTCCCTCCTTTATTTGCTCTCCTTCTCCACTCCACTTGGGATGACTTTTATTTAGCTTTACTTACATCTCCATGTCTGTCTTTTCTTTCAGTTATTAATATTCCTGAGCTGTCCATCTCCTCTGTCCTCTGGAAATCTGACTTCATCCATCTCTTTAATTTCTTGCTGTATCCCCTTTTCCCCCTTCTGTTAATAAAATGCTCTTAGAACTCACCTATCTTGAAAAACATCCACTCATCACCACCACCACCACCAATAAATGCTTCAGCCAGCCCTGACATCAGTCCTGACTTCTTTCTTATTTCTGTTCTTCCCTCACTGTGACTCAGTTCATGTGGTTTATACCTGGAACCGTTAGCACCTGTCGCTCCTGTTTTTGTCACTACCCGTTATTTTCTTATCCTTTTAGCCTCACAATGAAGTCCGTTTCATCACTGAATTCCCAGTTGTTAAAATGTTCTTTCTTAGGTTAAACTCTGTGCCCTGATACTTTCTCCCATTAGTCATGATGTTTCCTGGAACTACAGAGGTTATCTGTTCACATCTCCACATGAAACTCTCCATGGAATTGGCTGAAGGCAAACATCATTTCCGCCAAAGTCTTCTTTTCTGCAGATTAAAAGCCCTTGGATCTTTCAAGTCATTCTTTAGAAGTACAGTTTTAAGTTTCCTTAAAACCCTCTTGTTTTCTAAATATGTAGTTAATAATTGCATTATCTCATAATAATCTAATTAGTCTCAATTTTATTATCATGTTCAAATCAACATTTGCACCCCTTTTTTGATGGAGAAAACATTTTAATATCTTAAAATCAGATTCTCTAGCTTTATTTCATTTTATCAGTGATCCTTTATGTGTAGGCTCTGAGGGAATAATACCAGGTATATTCTGACTGAAGCTGTCCCTTTGTTTTGACACTGTCTAGATTACATGTAGTTTTTAGGTATTCTACTTTTTGCTCAGGCCATCAATGAAATTATCAAAGTATTTGATACATGTGGTACTATATATTCATAAATTGTATAGCAGAGTTTTTGACCCTATGTGTAGGATATTTCCTTTATTCCCGTTCATTTTCAGTGAATTGGATTCCATCCACCGTTTTAATCTACTAAGATAAGTTTAGATCACAACTCTTGAGTGGAAGGCCATAACAGTAACCTCATGTCATTAGCATACTATCTCTGTTTTCCTTCAAGTATTTGATGAAAATGTAGAAAAAGGTGTGGTGTTTCATTGTCAAAGGTTGTTGACACCTATCATCTTATCATGATTCTGAAATTAAGTCCCATGAAATCTACCCAGTTCATGCTACTCCTGGTCTCCACGGTGCTGGGTTTGCTGATGTACCCTTGCACATACACCTGGCTGCTCCCACGCATCTCCACCTGCCACCTTTCTCTACCTTCATCTGCTCCGTTATGACCTGCAGGTCAGGGCTATCACCATCCTGTGTTGTAGCCATGAGTGTCCATGACCACGATGAGGGCATGCCTCCTTCATACAAAAAAACCAGCAGGAGATGAGAATTAGAAAACAGGTGCATTAATAAAAGAGTGACAATGACCAAAATTATGACTTATTTGGGGGATGCTCATTGAACTAAGAGTAAACAAACCTCTTGATGTCCAGACTCTTTTTGGCCTCTTCCTCTCTAATGAAGGCAAAGGGAAATCCATTTGAAATGAACATTCTAGAATCACTTCTCGTCTATCCTCCAGGAACCTACTGCCAGCAGAGAGAGGTAGAGGCCATCATGGAAGGCGACGAGGATGACAGGGGCTGCTGCTGCTGTAAGCCGGGACACCTGCCCCACCTGTTGTCCTGCAATGCTGCCTTTCACCTCCGCTGGCTCACCTGGGAGATCACTCGGACGCAGTACATCCTGGAGGGCTACAGCATCCTGGACAACAACGCGGCCACCATGCTGCAGGTGTTTGACCTCCGAAGGATCCTCATCCGCTACTACATCAAGGTATTGCTCTGCTTCCCAACACTTGTCTGAGGAATAATGCGAGGCTGGCATGAGGAGCTCCTGAAGGGCTCGGTAGATAATCGTATTATCTCATCATAATCTAATTAGTCTCAATAATTTTTTTTTTTTTTTTTGAGTTGGAGTCTTACTCGGTCGCCCAGACTGGAGTGCAGTGGCTGCTCCCGGCCAGCGCAGCCTCGCTTGCTGGGCTCCAGTGATCCTTCCGCCTCAGCCTTCCGAGTAGCTGGAATTACAGGCATGCGCTACCACGCCTGACTGGTTTTTTGATTTATTGTAGAGATGAAGTCTTGCTGCCCAGGCGGGTCTCGAACTCGCGGACTGGCAATCCACTCACCTCAGCCTCCCAAAGGCGCGGGATTACAGGCTGAGCCACCGAGCCCGGCTTAGTCTCAATAATTTTATTATCATGTTCAAATCAGTACTTCTGTGCCTTTTTTAATGGTGAAAATATTTTAAAAGTGCAACTTGCTCAGATTCTCTAGCTTTATTTCATTTTATCAGTGGCTCTTTATGTGTAGGGGCTGAGGGAATAATACCAGGTATATTCTGACCGAAGCTGTCCCTTTGTTTTGATGCTGTGTAGATTACATGTAGTTTTTAGGTAGTTTTTAGCTTGACTGGGAAGCTTCTCAGCCTCTGTATCAGAAGCACAGCTGGTTTGGGAACCATTGTCTTTGTGAAAAGTCCTAGAGGACTTTGCTTTGCTCCAGTGTTTGTGCACTGAGTCATATTCTAAGCCTAGACATGGGTAGGCTGTCTGTTTTCTTATTTAGGTCTTCTTCAATTTTACCACAGCACGAGCTGCTTGTCATGATGGTCATGACAAATTTAAACATCCTAGAAATATTACCAAGCCCCAACGCTTGAGTTCCAAGTGTCGAATTAGATGTTCTGCAAAACGTCCACTTTAGAACCAGAATTCTCATTTAAGCGCATGATGAAAACTCAAGAATGTCATTAAACGATCCTCAGGATTGGTGAGGACAGCCTTTTATCCTGACTCAGGTAGTGGCTGATAACCTGTGTTTTTAGCTGCTCGGTGCCCACATCTGCCCAACCTGTATTCAGCCTCAGAAAATGCGACAGTTTGGAATTCACCTCCTGGTATACAAGCCTGGGACTTGACCAAGGACGCAGAGGGCTAATCTGGGCTTGGGTGCTTTCTGGAGGGGAAGGGTCAGCGAAGGCAGTGTGGCTGAGAAAGACACTGCCAAGGATCCCACAGTGGGGGAGGACTTTGCGGGGTGGAATCCCTGCTGGCCCCTAGAGGGGTCCAAAAGAAATCTGTATCCAAAACTATAAAACTCCCTGGCAGCCAAGGCTGACAGGTGGTCTGGCAGAAGTGAGGAAATACACAACGAAAAGCTAGCAGGAGCGTCTGAAGTTCCAACCAGCTAAAGAGGATGTTTAGGCATTTGGAATAGCTACTGTGTGGATCTCCAATGTCCACAACAGCCGCTGAAGCTTCCTGGAAATGGGAAATAGACTGAAAGCCAGAGGGGGAAGCGTTCTTGGTTATCAACCCCCTAGGGGATCGCTAGATGGAATGTTTACAAACCCTTTTCTGTGGCAGGATCTGTACCACAGATCTTGCAGTTTGTACTCACCACCTTCGTGTGAGCTAGAGAGATGCAAAACATTAGATCCACATTTCACATAAAACTATAAGTGTTTTGTAAAGCCTTACCTTCACTGGGGAGGTTGGGAAAGCACGTCAGGGAGTTCTGATTTGTTATCTAAATTCTAGGCAGATGCGTTGTGCCAGTTGGTATTAGATCTGGCAGCGGGCCATGAAGGAACAGTGGCACGCACACGTTAGAAGTTCATTTCTCTTGTGCATAGATGAAGGCTGGCATGGTAGCTCTGCGTCATGAAGTTCTCAGGCACTGAGGTTCCTGCCAGATCTCAGCCTCCACCATCTTAAGCATAGCCCCCATGCTCATGTTCTAAGGTTTTTTTTTGTTTTGGGGTTTTTTGGTTTTTTTTTGAGTTGGAGTCTCACTCTGTCACCCAGACTGGAGTGCAGTGGCCGCTCCTGGCCATTGCAGCCTCGACCTGCTGGGCTCCGGCGATCCTTCCACCTCAAGTAACTAGAACTATAGGCGCACGCTGCCACGCCCAGCTAATTTTTGATTTATTGTAGAGATGAGGTCTCGCCAAGTTGCCTAGGCGGGTCTCGAACCCGCAGGCTCAGGCAATCCACTCACCTCTGCCTCTCAAAGTGCTAGGATTACAGGCTGAGCCACCAAGCCTGGCTGTTCTAAGGTTTAAGTGAAGGAAAGGATAAAGAAAGAAAATAGAGACCAAGGGCATGCCCCAGCTGCCTCTTAAAAATGTTCCTACAGTGTGTTTCTGCTGTATCCCATTGACCAGAACATGTCACCTGGGAGAGGGTCTGGACAGTGTATTCTGGGCAGCCATGAGGCCAGAATGAAATTGTTCGTGGAAGGAGGAGAAAACGTGATAAATGGTAACCACCCACCTCTGTCTTCTCCCTGATGAGAGAGAGTGTACCTTGAGTATCTTCTTTCGTTCTCTGGAGGCAGCAGGACAAGGTGGTTGCAGGAAGGGCTGGATCCAGGGGCTGACTGGTCAAGGGGGCTCGCAGACCCATGAAGCAAGTGGCCGGGAGGGGAGAGCTTGGGCCATCAGAGTGGGTCTAGACAGGCCAAATGGGGGAGTCCTGAGTTGTCTCTTTGTAACCTCGGAATAAGGCACGACTCTCTGGTCTGCTACCCAGAGGCCTCTGCTGTTGCTTCTGGCTCTGTCACCACTTTGTGTCCACGCCGGGCACACACTCCCTGTGCCCCCCATCCCCCGCCCCAGCACACTGCTCGCTCCTCCTGCAGGGATGCTCCTCTCTTTCCACATGCCCACAGCCTCCCCTCCACCTTCAGCCCCCTCACCCCCCCAGCCGACAGGGGTCCTGCCTGGCGATCCCCTCCCCTTCCTCTGCAGACCTTTCCCACTTCACTCCCTAAGCAGGAGCCACATCTGAGTCCTCTTGGGGTTCCCGGAGCTCTGTGTGATGGCTTGCACGTCAGGCTGCCCCCTGCGTGTTTGCACCGGATAAACAAAGGTTCCAGGTAACATAGTTGTGGTGTCTGGGCCATACAGTCTGGACGGAAGAGATTCAAGTCCAGGCAGGGGTCTGCACAGCCTGCTTCAGGCACCAGAGCTGAGAATGGGGTTCAGTACTAAGCCACGCCTCTGCCTTTCCATGAGCCAGGAGTGTGGACAGACCTGACCCCATGTCCTGGGGCCAGCAGGTAGCACGAGTGGGAGGAAAGGGAGAGGCGGGGTGAGATTGAGATGCCCGAACTCATCTCCCCTCCCTGGCCTAACCCTCCCAGCTTTTCCGGAGGCCTTGGAGGCTCTGTGACTGGACCTGCTCTTTGATGTCCCCCTCCCTTGAACTTGTGGTTGATAGTCACCTTCCTCCTCTCCTAACCCCTGGAAACATGCCTCCCAACCCCGTAAATGTTTTCTAAGGTGACAGTTTGCCATCTGATAAAGAGATCCAGGAAGAGGACTCAGGGAGGTCCCCCAGAGCCTACCAGGTCATAGCTGTCTTGTGGGAAAACAATACCCTTCACTCTGTTTTCTTTTCTTTTTGTTTGTTTGTTTTTGAGCCAGAGTCTCATTCTGCCGCCCAGGCTGGAGTGCAGTGGCACGCTCGTGGCCACCACAGCCTCGATTTGCTGGGCTTAGGTGACCCTTCTGCCTCAGCCTTCCAAGTAGCTGGAACCACAGACGTGTACCACCACGTCCAGCTAATTTATTTATTTATTTATTATAGAGACGAGGTCTCACCTAGTTGCCCAGACTGGTCTGGAACCCTTGGGCTCAGGCAATCCTCTCGCCTTGGCCTCTCAAAGTGCTGGGATGACAGGCGTGAGCCACCGTGCCTGGCCAGCTCTGTTTTCCAAGAAAGGGCAGTGAAGACAGAATGGGAGTTGCAGGTGGGGTGGGAGAGAAGCTAGCATGGCACTTCTCACACCAGAGCCGTTCTATGGCAGACTCCCCTAGAAAGCCGGATGACTTACAGATTCCCAAGTCCTGCCCAGAAATTCTGATTCCATGAGCCTGGGGTGGAGCCCAAGGACTTATATTGTTTAATAAGTTTCCTAAGTGATTTGATACACAACTAGGCTTTGGAGCCACTACAGACATAATTTTGCTCCACAGAAACAAGAATGTTTTTTTCTTTATTTTATTGTAAAGATGTAGGCTACGAGTCAGAATTAGGCTACATGCAGGTGAAGTGAATCTCATCAAACTGAAAAGCTTTTGCAAAGCAAAAGAAACCATCAAGAGAGTGGGGCGACAACCCACAGAATGAGAAACAAGAATTTTTCAATGCCAGCTCAGGAGGGGCTGAGATTTTTGGACAGGTGGAGCCTCGTGGTGTCCCCCCCACCCAGGTTAATTCACGTTGCCACCGTCAGGTCTGCTTACTGGAGGTTAAATGAAAATGCAGCACTCAGTGATCCCGTGACCTTTGGTGAGGGGTGGCTCTGAACTTGCTCTCATTCCTCCCAGTGCAGCTAGCTAAGGGGAATTTCAGGAGAGCTAACTGGCGATTAGAAGAAACAGTTCTTTGGGGGTGAAAACAATTGAATATTTTCTTCTTTGCCCTCAGCTGCTAGAGAAACAAAGTTGCCTTTGTAGCTCTGGATTATTTCAAGAGTCAAGAGTTTGGCTTCATTCTCTTGATCATTTTCTTATTGGACAGGAAAATTGAAAATCAAGGGAAGTTTGAAGTAATTCTTTTTTTTTTTTTGAGTTGGAGTCTCACTCTGTTGCCCAGACTGGAGTGCAGTGGCTGCTCCCGGCCACTGCAGCCTCGACCTGCTGGGCTCCGGCGATCTTCCCGCCTCAGCCTTCTGAGTAGCCAGAATTACAGACATGAACTACCATGCCCGGCTGATTTTTTTTATTTATTGTAGAGATGAGGTCTCGCCAAGTTGCCCAGGCGGGTCTCGAACCCACGGGCTCGGGCAGTCCACTCACCTCAGCCTCCCAAAGCACAAGATTACAGGCTGAGCCACCGAGCCCAGCTAAAATAATTCTTTTATACAAAAGATTTTTTAAAAGTCCCCCCGATAAACTGGGTCAGTTCCCCCACCATGAATATATTTGAAATAACCTCCTTCCTGGCGACTCGAGGTTGTCCCTGGTGTCTCCTCCACCTCTCTTCAGTTGATTAGTGCTGAAAACCCTCTTAGCCGTCCAGAAATCGGCATCTGCGAGGGCCTGGTTTTCCTGCTGCCTTTGTTTGTGGGCAGCTCTTTCCGAAAGGAGATGTGCTTATTGCTTGCCTTGCAGAAAGAGGAGTGAACAACCTGACACGTGGTCTGCCTGTCAGGACCCCCTTCCTAGAATGAGTTGTGAGAATGAGAATGTGCTGATCTGCAATTAAAATGAGGAGCCAGGGGAATCTGCTGGAGGAGCCAGATAATCATGCATTAATTCAGGAGGGGTCCTGTCTTCAACATGGTTTGGGCTCACCCTGTCAGTTCATTGTCACCCTCCCGACTTATCAGTTTCACTTAGCGCTGCGTCCATGTCAGAGCCTGAAGGATCTCCCAGCGTTCACGGACTCTGTCTCCAGGATAGAATTTCTGCCTAAATAACTGAAGACGGGGCATGGCCTGCAACTAGTCGGGCGGTTGTTTCTGTGCAGTGACTAGGGAAGCTGAGCATCGAACCGGGCTCTGTTCTGAGGTCAGCGCTGTGAGGTGTTGCCAGAGGAGGAAGTTTCAGGCTCGGGGATTCAACACCCTCATTAGCCATTCTGACTTCATCAGTGGTGGGGTGACTAATCCCCCCTTAGAAATAAATGAAAATATACACTGTCGTCTTTCTCCTGTTGTTTGTTATTCTTATCTGGTATGTGATTAGGACATATTGGGGAAAACCTAGACCAGATGTTTGCTGGAGCCAGATGTTTGGAGAAACCAGATTTCTCTCTTCCCTTTGTAACGCTCAGCTGAGACGGGGTGCCTGTGACCATGGGCCCACATCCGGGGTATCACTTGCTGATAACTTTGGGCTGACTGCTCAACCCGTCTGTCTGCCTCCTAGAAGCTTTAAACGCTCCATCCGGCAAGAGGACAAAAGAAAACCCTGCAGATTCAAATTTTATATTTTTGAATATCAGATGTGCACTCTGGTGACCACCACAGACGCAGCTGTCTCCTGTCCCCTAGTGCCATCCCCGTTCGTTCCCTCACCCCTCTGCCTCAACCTCTCCTGGGCTGCTGCTACCGCTGCCGCTCCTGCCTGTCCCGAGCTGCTTGCTGGGTAGGTAAGTCACAGCTGGTGAAGACATGACGACCGTGATTGCTTCTTGGGTGCCCACCACGGGCCAGGCCCCATGCCAAGTTCTCCACGCACGTCATCTCGTTCTAAACCTCCCACAGCGATGCAAGGTGGGCGTCCTGAGCACTTCTGTCTTTCCACCTCCTGCTTCGTCTCCCTTTGACCTCTTCCTCCGTCCCTCCCTCTCTTGCTTCCTCCTCATGTCAAAGAGATTTCTTGAGGCCCTCCTGGCTGTCCTGGGTGGCTGCATTCCAGAGACTGGGGGAACAGGTCCGCCCCTGAATTCTAGCTGTGATCTGCAGGCATCATGCTTCTACTTCCTCGTCTGGGGGACAGGAAGACCGTGGAGCCTCATGGAAAATATGCCCCCAAGAAGGAAGATCATGAGCCACAAGCCACAGACTAGCCTCTGCAGAGTCCATGCTGCCCTCTGTCCTCACTGCAGAGAGACGCTAAGTCTGGAGGCTGCCACTGTTTAGAGGAAACCAGAGACTGCTTGTGCCCCTTCACCCGCTCAAACTCCTGAGAAAGCTTGAAACCAGACACCTCTGTCACTTGAGGGCTTGAGCTCTGGATTTTATTTCCCAGCCACAGGAAGGGGACAAGAGCGGGAAGGACAGATACTTGTTACTTCCTGTTTTTTCACTAGGAAAGAAGGTGTTTTTATAAACAGGCCATCAGTTACGTGTTTGATTCTCACCAGAGCACGAATTCCTGTCTCCTCGCATCCCATTTTGAGAGCCCCTTGTCCCTCATGATTTCAAGATGAGACAAGCAGGCCCCGTTCCCAAGTCCCCCTCAATTTCAGTAGCCCTGAGTGCCACCTCCATTTTTCTGTTGTCATGAAACCGTAGTGACTGTTCAGCAGCGTACACTGATCACTTGCTGCTGTGCCCCCGTCGGGCCTGGACTTTCATTTCCTCTGTCGCATCTTTATTTCTCCAGGCCAGGTGCTGGCCATGCTGAAGGATGAATTCATTCAAAAGCTGCAAGGCGGCTTTCCACAAAGCTGTGACTCAGAATAATAAAGCTCAAGGGAGACATTTTTCCCAAGCCGGACTCCTGAGTACAGTTTCTGATTAAGCGTTTGAAAAGAACGTATGTTCTTTCGCAGATGTCCACTGTCTGGCACTCCGGATTAAGTGTGTATGTGTGTGTGACAACGATTTGGTGTCATTGATAGTTTCCATAAGAGCAGCTTTGTCTTCATTTATTAAACACTCTTCAGCTAGAACCCTGGAAGAGGGTCTGCCCCGGTCTGTTTTAGCTGGATCTCCCTAGCGTGGCACCCACAGAAGCCTGCAGTGATCCCAGCAAAGGGTGTTTGTGTATGTTTCTCTCAGGAATGACAGGGCTGACTGTCAATCTTCCCCATCACGGAAACTCTGTTCTGTTTCATTCTGCTAGCATGATGTCCGTCTCACCTTCCTTTCCCCAGGATAGCCCTTAAGAGAGGACATCCTAGAATGTCTCAAATTTCTATGCATTAAACCTGGCAGGAAGTACAAATGGTGCCACAGTGTGGGGATTTAGTGTTTTTTCACTTTCCTGAGGTTGAGTTGCTTTCTTTTTTTTTTTTTTTTTTTGAGTTGGAGTCTCACTCTGTCGCCCAGACTGGAGTGCAGGGGCTGCTCCCGGCCACCGCAGCCTCGACCCGCCGGGCTCCGGCGATCCTTCCGCCTCAGCCTTCCCAGTAGCCGGAATTACAGGCGCGTGCTACCACGCTCGGCTGATTTTTTTGATTTATTGTAGAGATGAGGTCTCGCCTGCCCAGGCGGGTCTCGAACCCGCGGGCTCAGGCAATCCACTCACCTCAGCCTGAGTTACTTTCTAAGATGTAATCAATGTTTTAAAAAATCATCCTGGTTTTGGGATAGTTGTAAGGGCTCAACATCTTACCTTCTGTCTGTAGAGTATCATTTACTTTATGGCAACGTCCCCCAAACTCCTCTCCTGGATGAAAAACGAGTCGCTTCTGAAGTCCCTGCAGCCCTTTGCCAAGTGGCATTACATTGAACGTGACCTTGCGATGTTCAACACTAACATTGATGACGACTACGTCCCGTGTCTCCAGGGGATAACACGCGCGAGCTTCTGCAATGTGTATCTGGAATGGATTCAGCACTGCGCACGGAAAAGACAAGAGGTGGGTGAGAGGGTGGGGGCTGGGCGTGGAACGTGAGTGTAAAACCAAGGAGTGGTGTGATGTCCATCTCTTTCTTATATTTTATGGTGGACTTACACGAGAGGAGAGAAAAAAGCATTCGCATTTGGATAAACATTTATCTAAGTGAGCAAAATTAAATGGGAGAATCGATAGACCGTGTCTCCAGTGAAGGAGAATCAGAGGTATGCATCCTTTATGCGTTGCCCGGGGTCAGTGAGGTTTTAAGCCCCTGTGATATCTTTCAAACATCGGAAGCTTTTTGGTTTAACATCACGTTTTGAGATCGCTATACAAAGTGCGAAGAAATCAGGATGACGTACCGATCCTACTGGATCGTGGACGTGCAGAATCTGTTTAGTAATCAGATGGTCCGGGTTACTTCTTTAGATGTTATTTTTGCTATATTTTGTGTATGTGTGCTGTCGTTCATGTGCTGAGGACACTTCTGGAGGTGAATCCTGCCTCTCAGAAAAGAAACCAAGAATAATGACAGCTTACAAAAAAGGAAGGGGGTAGAGTAGGAGAATGGGGAGGGGGCAGATAAGGAGAGTCAGTTTACCTTGCTTCTTAGGACTTGAAAAGCTGAGTCCATGAGTTGTTGGGAAGAACTTCCTCTGCAGCTGGTGCAGCATGGGGTTTGCCGTGGACAGAATAAACCAAACCATGGCAGAGCCCAGGTCTGTGACCTTTTTATGAGTGATTAAAAACAGGTGGCAAAAGAAAGTGGCAGAACCTGGTTTCTCCAGACAAACCAAGGAGAAGGTATGCAGATAATCTTAGCCCACGCTTGCCCTCTTTGGTTGAGATAGTCCAAGAGTTTATTAAATTTTTGCCTATATCTCCATGACTCTTCTCTTTCCTCGGTTGGCTCACAAAATTATTTCATTTTTCTTGCAAAATAGTTTTGACTTTAAACTTCTTCTGCATCTTTCCCATCCTTACCCTTGTCTTTAAAGCTGACTTTGACTTTGGATAGCTCATTTTTTTTTTTTTTTTTTTTAAAGACAGGGTCTCACTCTGCTAGAGTGCAGTGGTACACTCATAACTTACTGCAGCCTCAAACTCCTGGACTCCATTCATCCTCCTGCCTCAGCCTCCCCAATAGCTAGGACTACAGGAGTGCACCACCACACCCAGCTAATTTCTTCTTCTCCTATTTTGTTTTGTTGTAGAGACAGGATCTTGCTGTGTGGCCCAGGCTGATCTCAAACTCCTGGCCTCAAGCGATCCTCCATCTCAGCCTCTCAAAGGGCTAGGATTACAGGCATGGAGCCACCCTGGCCCAGCCTGGACAACCTTTTAAATCCAGTTGTTGATTGTGGAGCTACCATCAACCCGAGGGCTCCTTGTTGTTATGGGGAGAACGGAAGACTCTCATTTGCATTGGATCCAAGTACCTTCTCTACATTCTCTCTCCTTGATAGACTGTGCCCCTCCCTGCACTGGATGGTGTTGGGGTGGGCATCCATTTGACCAGAAGCACTGGCCATCTTTATGAACTGAAGTGCCATATTGGAAATCCCAGAGAAGCAGGTCATCAGCTTTTTCTCTCCTAAAATAGCTTCACCCCCTTCCCCCTCTCCATGTTTCACAACAAAACACACTGTTTCAGGAAGCTGAGACTTCCCCATCCCCAGAGAACCATATTAGAGAGGCCCGGATGACCACTGGCTGGCTTTAAAAGCCTCCTCTCCCTCTACATGGATGGTTCTACATGGGTACATGTTGGCACCTGAGCGAAAGCTGAGTTACCGCCCTTGTTCTTCCAGCCTTCCAAGACCGTGGACAGCGACGAGGATTCCCCTTTGGTGACCCTCTCCTTTGCCCTGTGTATCCTGGGGAGAAGAGCTCTGGGAACTGCAGCACACAACATGGCCATCAGGTACCTGGAGAAACCGTCGGAATCTCTTAGACTGGTGCAGACGCTTGCTTTTTATATTTTGGACGGACTTGGCCAATAATTTTCTAAAATTGAACTGGTTATACTTCACGATGGTTATTTCCGTGGTCGATCATGTAGGGCCTGCAAGAAGACTTTTTTTGATCTCGGTGACCTTTTGGGGTATCGGATTTGGAAATATAATTCAGATGAAAGGCAAATCTCAGGAATTCTAAGTAAAGGGCCTTCTGTGGTAGAAAGGTCCTTTCAGATTTGCTGGAACGATTCAATGAAATCACGCCTGTTAACTACCTAGTCTGGTACCTGATGGAGTTGATGCTCAGTAAATGTTAGTTCCCTTCCTCCAATTTTTTGATGTGCACACACACACACACACACACACACACACACACACATACACACACACACACCCCCTCTAGTCCAGATCCTACTCACCCTGTCTCTTTGGATCTTTGTTAAATGGATGCCCCTTCTTCTATTTTTCAAGCTCTGTATACTGGATCTCACCTCTCAGTATGTAAATAGCCCAAGTCTGTCTTTTCAAAGAACAAGAACAAGTTAAACTCTCTGCTGGCCCTTTGTCACACTCTATCACTGAGGTGGTATTGTTCACACGGGAAACAGTATTCAGGCCCCGCTGTGTCACTGACAGCCGTCCTGGCATTTCAGCCAAACTGGTCTTGGGATTTCATCAGCCACCTCCTAGTCATCTAAACCAGGGGCCAGGGCACAGACTTCTCCTCTGGTACTTAGCACAGCGGCACAGCGGTTCTGAACTATGCCTGCCCATCACAATCACCTCCACAAGTGGCTCTCCACCCCATGTGCCCATTAAAATCTCCAGTAGGGCTTTTAAATATTCTGGTGCTCAGATCCTACCCCAGTCTAGGCCAATTCCATCGGAGCCACTCTAGGCTGAGACCACACATCCCGGTTTTGTTTTGTTTTTTAACTCCTCAGGCAACATCAGTGGGCAGCCAAGGCTGAGAATCACCCAGACCTAGGGAACTTCAAGAAGAGCAGGTGCCTGTTTCTCCGGGTTTCTCCTCTGCTTAAGTCTTCTTTATGTCTGTACCATATTGTTGATGTGAGGCTCTACAAAGGAAGTTCTTCTGAGATCGAGCGAGTTGTGTGCTAGTAGGTTGGATCACAAACTAATTAAGGGCAAAACCAACTCGTCTATTTGTTGAGCGACCCTGAGCTGCCAGGTAGACAAGTTCAGGGAGACTTGTTGACTGTGTGTCCTCATGTCCTTCCTGAGGGGGGCGACTAGAGTCGTTGCTGGTGGCAAGGTGCTGAGAGGCATGGCCAGTTAGGAGTGTTGTGGCTGGCCGCTCTCTCCGTTTCTCTCTGGAGACAGTAGCCTAGAGTCACCAACAGGGACAGGTGAGAACCAAGGGCAGTTGGAATCTGTGACATCAGCTACTCTTCCAACCTCCACAGCTCAGAATTTCACGATGTTTTTTCTGGACGAGAAATGCCAAATGTCTGAGCCTTACATGTCTGGCCCTTAATGTCTGGCATTAATACCTGCTCTAGGCAAGTCCTCTGGGGAGAAGCTGGCTGGCCCCCAGCCTCTCCTGTCCTCCTACCTGACTCAGTCCCACACTGGACTCTGGCTGTTCCTTTTGTGGCCATTTGGGACTGAGTGTTTTAAGTCTAGCAGAAGACTTCTTTGCGGGCTTTGTAAAGCATTATGATGTGGCCCCTAGAGGGGGCTCCTTATTAAACTTGTAAATAGGGAACAGTGTTTGAGAAGGGATTCATAGGATCTTGCACTTGAAATCACAAAATGGGGCTTCAGATATTCATAGATGGTTAAACTACTATTGCAAGGTCTTTTCTTTGATCAATTGGAAGTGTTTTATACATTGCAAGTGGCAAACATGCTGCGTTTTTTTTTGTTTGTTTTTTTTTAGTTCATATCAAGATTTTTTTAAAGACTTCTTCAACCTTGTCCTTTGTGTAACTTGCTCAGATATTCGTTCCTGATCCAGGTGTTTCTTGCTTGGTCTACTTATTTTTCCTTGATTAAGTGCTCTGCTTACAAGCTGCTTTTTTAAACCTGGTTTTGATGGGATTTTCTTTGTTTCAAATAGCTTCTCACACTCTATGTCAGCTCGACTTATTGCAAACATGGTGATGAGATAAATCTGGGAAGAATCTTCTTGGCATTCTAATGAAAGACTAGATGATCTGGGTCTGGTTCCCTTTACTGAGAGATCCCACAACACAGCAAGATCCTACAAGGCACTTTCCTTTCCGTTTTTGACTTACAAGAGGCAACTTCTTTTACGTGCCACCCTAGGCCCATGGTCTAAAGTCCATAAAGTGCTGACTTGGTCGGATGTGACTGGCAAGTCAGGATTGGTACAGGGTGAGGGCAGGTTGGAGCCTGGCAGGACCCCGCCTCTTTTCAGCCAAACAGCTGGGCTTTATGTTTCACATGCTAGAGGTCCATAAATGGTTTTGCATAAAACAAAAGGGTATCCGAACTCGATAAAATTTTAAACATCATTTCTTTGTTTATCAAGACTCAAATGGTTCTCCAAAGATGCTGTCTCAGTTTGCACTCTTACCAATACTGTTTTTGGCATACGCTCACTACTGGGTGTTTCATCTTTTAAAATGTTCTAGTCTCATGGGAGAACAATTGTATTTCACTCCTATTTGAATTTGCATCTCAATTCTTAATAGCGAGGGTAAGAATCTTTTTCATGCCTATTAGTCATGTATAGTTTTTCTGTGATGTGCCTGTTTATACAAACCATTTGTATTAAGTACTTACTGATATTTAGGAGGCATTCACATTGTTTTTTTTTCCCCACAAATTAAGCTTGTTATGTTGTTAGATGTGATCAAGTATTTTCTACCAAGCTGCCTTGTCTTGTATTTTTATTTATGATGTATTTAAAATTTTTTTTTTATTTTATAATTTCTGGATTTTATGTCTTTCCTAAAAATGTTTTTGTAGCTCCAAGATATAAAAATACTGGCTTCTATTTTCCTCTGATACTTCCATAGTTTTATTTATTTATGCTTTGCTTTTGAATCCTGGGAGTCTGCCTAGGATTTGATTTTAACCTACTGATCAGCTTATAAGCTAGCTTTTTACTGCTCCTTGGATTTGAGCAAAGGACATGAGACTCCTGGGTCAGGAACAAAGGACTTTATTTCCCCCTAGAACAGCAAGCAGCAGATACATCAGCATATTTGTCTCAGGTCCCCTTGCCCCAAGGCCCATGGAGGTGACACAGAACACCCATTCTCCACTGCAGGAGAACACTGAGCTTAGGGAGCCAGCCACTTTACAACATCGTTACTTCATCTTTCAAGGACAGTCAACTTAAACCTTGAGGCCTTGCATTCTCAGCATACCCAGTAGGATGTGCCGGAGAATGAGAGACCCATGGAGTACTGTCTCCCAAAAATCCAAGATGGAAGATATGAGATAGGAATCCAATATTAGATAGCTCAACACCATTTGGTAAGTAGCTCATCATTAGTTAGTGAATAAAAATGACCACTGAGTTGAAACGCTATTTTTGCCAGATATATAAATGCTGTGCTTCTAGATTTACACTTCTGTTCAAGTGATCCATTTATCTTTCTTTTATTTTTATTTTTATTTTATTTTTTTGAGTTGGAGTCTCACTCCCTTGCCCAGGCTAGAGTGTAGTGACACGCTCATGGCCACCACAGTGTCGACCTGTTGGGCTCTGGCGATCCTTGCGCCTCAGCCTTCCAAGTAACCAGAACTACAGGTGTTAGCTATCATGCCCGGCTAGTTTTTGATTTATTGTAGAGACGAGGTCTCGCCAAGTTGCCCAGGCTGGTCTCAAACCCGCGGGCTCAGGCAATCCACTTGCCTCGGCCTCCCAAAGTGCTGGGATTACAGACTGAATCACTGAGCCCGGCCACTTGTCTATTCTTACGGCAATACCACACTGTTTGGCTTACTAGAGTGATATCTGTTATTTTAGCATCTGATAAGCCAAGTCCTTCTGTCCACTTTTTTCTCCTTTTTTATAGTTTTGTGGTGGGTGCTATTTTGCTCATTTTCTTCCCAGGTGAAATTTTAGAATTACATTCTACAAAATCATAAAACCAACATTCCAAATTTGAATTTTGATTGAGATTTTATCGGATATATAGAGAAAAAATGAGTACCATTTAATAATATATCTTTCTGATCACTCAGTTTTTAATGTCCTTCAGTAAAATCTTATCATTTTTTGAAGATTTATAATTCTTTCATGGGGTTACCTCTAGGTATCCTACAGTTTTATTGTGATTTTGAATAGAATCATTTTTCGTATCACATATTCTATTTGGTTACTTCAGGTATACAAGAAAGTTTTTTATTTTTATTTTTAATATTGACCTAATTCTGGGCGTCTCTACTGAATTCTGTTAGTAACATAATATTTCAACGAATTATCTTTAATTTAATTTCAGATGTGGAAAAAACATCTGAAAATAATGGCAATTTTTACTTTTTAAATTCCAGTGTTTTTTTTTTTTAAACATATTTTTTATTATAAAGTTGTGGCGTACAGTTAAAGGTTAGGTATACAAATATGCATCGTTCAGGCATCCTGTTAATAAAGGGTGTCTCCTCATCCCCAGACAGATATTGACTACCGTTAGTCCCACCTCCCTTCCTCTCCCTACTCCCCCCATAGTTTCCCACCACTGTCAGTCCTTTTTTTATAGTATTATGGTAGATATTCAAGGTCCACTATATGAGTGAGAACATGTGATACTGAGATCTTTGTTTCTGTGAGAGATCACTCAGTATTATAGACTCTAGTTCCATCCAGGTTGGTGTGAAATTCATGATTTTGTTCTTTTTTATGGCTGCGTAGTATTCCATCGTGTATACGTACCACATTTTTTAAATCCAGTCCTCTTTTGATGGACAGCATGGCTGTTCCAAGTTCTTGCTATTGTGAATTCCAGTGTTTTTAACTGCAGTCTTT